TTCCGGCCAAACATGGTCTCGAAAAGTAGGTCGCAGGTCAAAGGTCATTAGGGTCAGGGTCATGAAAATTTCAGGGTAGGTGTATAATTGATTAACGCGAGGGTACTGAAGGTTTCGTCGCGATCGGCCGCTTTTTACGCGAGTTATTCGCGAAAAAACCGAAGTGGGGTTCGTTCGACCCCCCCCCCCCTCCCTATACGGGCGCGGGTTAACTGACAGGTCATATTCAGAGGAGCTCGGCGGTTGGGTCGTTGATTGCAGACGTGAGCCGACAACCTTGCACGTGGAGCCGTATACACAGATATGGGACATCGTCCCGGCCGGAGGCACCTTCCGGTAAACATTGCAGCTGCGAGAGTACCACTCTGTCCGACCCTGCGCGGCTGGGATGGAAATGGTATTGCAGTCGGTTCCCTCAGACAACTGGTGACGTGGTCGGCCGATCTCTGGCCGGGAGGCAGGGGAGCCGCGCCGGACGGCGTGATATTGCGGGCGGCGCCGGCCGGTCGTCCAGACCGACCTTTCTCTCGGGCGTCAGAGGCGCCGCTCGACCGGCCATGACCTGCCGTCAGAGCACGTCATCCCGTGACCACGACACCCCATATAACCGGCGCCGCACGGCCGGTGGGGGCAGAACGACTGTGATACCCGCCCGAGCCCGACCCTCCCCGGAGCATCATGAAACTGGTGAGCACCGCGCTCCCCGCAGCGGCAGGCGGGCGGGGGATATCACGAGACTCGTGAGACGTCTTCCGTCTACTGGCGTGCCCCGTCACTGCAGTGACCGAAGTGGTAATGTGTGTTATAGTGGTGATCTTGGTTTCGTATGGAAGGCAGCACGAATTGCTTGATTATCGCGTTGACCTTACGGACTCAAAGAATGTTTGAGAAACATTAACGCACTCGTACTCACGCACTCGCACTGCACACTGCACACGCACTCAGATGTTCATCTGAGCACTTGTTTGCGTTACCTAGGGCTCAAGAGCATGAAACCGCTTGACCCGGCCTTCCCTCAACTATCTCTTGGCCACTTTCCCCAGGTTGCTGTCCCTCTACCGTTTGGTCATTTTTCCTGTTCGTGTTGCCGACACCGACCTCCTCCTATTTCAGCTGCTCGCCCTCCCCGTGTGGCAAACACAGTCTCCTCTCTTTTCTAGCTGGTCGCCCTCTCGTGTGACTGACCACGTCTCCCCCATTTACTCCAGCTCATCGTCCTGTTGGCGGTGGCCGCTTGCCCTACCGTGCGTCTGACACCGTCTCCCCTATTTCACTCGGTTGTCCTGCTAGCGGTGGCCGTCGGTCCTCCCGTGCGTCTGACACCGTCTCTCCTTTTCCAGCTTATCGTTCTGCTGGCGGTGGCCGCCTGTCGCGCCGCTCCCCGGCCCGAGAAGCTGGATGAGCTGGAAGCGCGTCATCCCGACTTTGACGCCCAGATCCTGGAGCAGATCAACCAGCACACCGAGGACGGCGGCTACTCCCAGCTGTGAGTTATATCAGCAGCGACTTCTGCAAACTGTTGGTTACATATAGCCGCCTTTCTCAGTTGTGGGAAATGTTTTCCCAGTTTTCCCATTTTGCAGTTTTTCCAACTATGAGTTACACAAGGCAGCTTTTTCCATTGTGAGTGGCATACAGCGGCTTCTCACAACTATCGTTCTGTGTCCGTGGTTCTAACCGCACTGTTCCTCTGTCCGCGCCCAGGTTCCGCACGGAGAACGGTATCGTACAGGAGGAGCAGGGTCAGTCGTACCCGGGCGCCGAGCCGGGCACCGGCAGCTACGTCAAACAGGGCGTCATCGAGTACCCGCTCGACGACGGCAGCATCCTGGTGCTCAACTATGTGGCCGACGAGAACGGCTACTCGGTGCTGAACCCGGAGGCGCTGTCGCAGGCGCTGCCCACGCCGCCTCCGACCCAGTACCCGCCGCCGCAGGTGCCCGGAGCCGGCGTGCCCGTGCCGCAGCCGCTGCCCGAGTACAACCCGTTCCTGGGCCAGCAGTGAGCGCCAGCGACACAGCTTCACAGTCATACACATACAGACAAAGACATTCACATACAGACATATGAACGCAGACAAACACAAACCAGCAAAGCTATAACCGCTCAATGAGCGGCACACCATCCCATGTATGCAGGCATAGCAAGCTTGTTATTGTGCAATGCGATGACTCAGTTATGAATAAATGACATCGATAGAGGTTGGTTATTGGACGATGCATATGGTTGAAAATATTGCAGCTTTCCGCATCCCTTAATCCACTGGCGGATCCAGGGGGGGGGGCCACGGGGGCCATGCCCCCCCCCCAAAGGCCTAAAGTGGCCGGTTTGGCCCCCCCCCCCCAAAAACGTCCGAAAAAAATGCTAAGAAAATATACCTTGATGGAGGTTTTTAGCCACTTGGTGAAGTAAAGCTTTCCACAGCATAATATGGAAGCAATATGGTAGCAGTGAGGGTCAGTCAAAAGTTGCGCGAGAGGAGTCGACCTTAAAAAAAGACTGTTGTTGGCACGTGTTTATGGCGCGGCAGCTGGTAGTTGGCGGTGTTTCGCGTGGTGTGGCATCACTGGCCGATCCAGGGGGGGGGGGGGGGCACGGGAGCCTGAGGTGCCCCTGACAGGTCCATGGTGCCCTTGCTAGGCCTGTGGTGCCCCTGGACCCTGGCAGGCCTGTGGTGGCTCTGGCGGGCCTAGGGTGCCCCTGCTAGGCTGCTGATGCCCCTGGGACCTGACAGGACTGCGGTGCCCCTGACAAGCCTAAAGCGCCCCCAACAGGCCCGTGATGTCCCCGACAGGCCCAAGGTGCCCCTGCGTGATGCCGTGATGCCTGCGAGGCCGGCAGGGCCCCTGGCAGGACCATGGTGCCCCTGCGAGGCCGGTGGTGCCCCTGGCAGGTCTCTGGTGTCCCTGACAGACCTGGGGTGCCCCTGACAAGCCTGTGGGCCCCTCACAGGCCCGTGGTGCCCTTGCTAGGCCTGTGGTGCCCCTGGCGGGCTGGTGGTGCCCCTGCTAGGCCGGTGGTGCCCCTGACAGGCACCACCCGGGCACCAAGGGGGGTCATGACCCATGTGGCCCCCCTTGGATCTGCCACTGATACATAATATATTGATTTGTAAAGGCTAGACCGGTGGTGCCCCTGGCAGGCCTGTGGTGCCCCTGCTAGGCCCCTGGTGCCCCTGGGCCCTGACAGGACTGTGGTGCCCCTGCTAGGCCTCTGGTGCCCCTGCAAGGCCGGTGGTGCCCCTGTAAGGCCTGTGGTACCCCTGCTAGGCCTCTGGTGCCCCTAACAGGCCCATGGTGCCCCTGCGAGGCCGGTGGTGCCCCTGGCAGGTCTCTGGTGTCCCTGACAGACCTGGGGTGTCCCTGACAAGCCTGTGGGACCCGTCACAGGCCCGTGGTGCCCTTGCTAGGCCTGTGGTGCCCCTGGCGGGCTGGTGGTGCTCCTGCTAGGCCGGTGGTGCCCCTGCTTGGCCGGTGGTGCCCCCGGGCACCAAGGGGGGTCATGACCCATGTGGCCCCCCTTGTATCTGCCACTGATACATAATATATTGATTTGTAAAGGCGTTATGGCTTATGCAATATGCAATTGCAGGCACTTGGTATCCCTCACTTATCCCTCATTGGGGGCTCTGGCGGGCTCCTGAGGGCCCACGTCTATCTCCATTCTCCGGGAGCCCTAGACGGGCTCCTTTGGGTCCTTTCAGTCCACTACAGCATAAGAGGTCTCCACGCAAGTCCTATACATCTGAGGGCGTACCCTGACGTCTGAGGTACCCAACTGCAGCTCCAATGGTGTCTTACACTGGCGGATCCAGGGAGGGGGCATTTAGGGCCATGCCCCTTTCCCAGAGGCCTAAAGTGGCCCGTTTGCCCCTCCCCCAAACGATAATGAAACATAGTTCAATCAGTGCGTGGCCCAGGAGCCGAGTTAGACTGGGGGTGTTTTACCACCTCCCGGCCCGCAAAGGGACCCAAGAACTGACTCGAAGCGGGTTAACTGGTCGACAAAAGCAATGGTAAGTGTTCACAAAGTAATATAAAGGCATGGGTCGGGTGGACTACCATTTATATATTTTTCTTTTTAGTTAAAAAAAATTAATAGTGTCAGAGCTGTGACGAAAAATAAGTGGCCTAAATCCGATGAGAAAACAGGATTTGGGGGTACCCTAGGTTTGGCTCCGCATGAGTTGGCCCCCCCCCCCAAAACGCAAGCCTGGATCCGCCAGTGCCTTAATCCCCATCCAGACAGAAAAATATCCGCCGCTCCCCCCCCCCCCCCCCTTTGCCAGGCACAAGCCAGTTAGTCTCAGTTTGCACGTGTACGGTGCGCACTTGCAGGGGCCTTTTCTTTACCTCAAGAATTTTTGGGCTGATTGCACCCACACATGACTCGAGTGGGGGGGGGGGGGGCGGGGGCTATACAGATTACAGAATGACGGAGCCCCATCTTATTTCTGAAACTACAGGTTCATTTTTCATCATTCAAACGAATAGGTAATAATTATAATATAATACCAATATAATCATAATATATATGATAAAATAATAATAATACCATATAGTAATAGGTCATAATAATAAGTAATCAAACGTATAAAAAACAGTTATCGAAGAAATGTTAACTTTGTCAATCCCAAGAAATTGATGGCACCAAAAAAAAAAACAATACATATTGTTGAACATGGCCGAATATTCAGCCATGTTCACACATCGTACTCTGTCCGACGTAAAATAAGTCGCATCGAAATCATTTTGGGCATATACTTCCCAAGTGTATGACGAAGCCATCCTCGGACACCGAACCTGCAATTGAATAATTTTTTTTTCAAATTCCAAAAACCTCTCGGATTTCGGTTCCTTAGGCACTACTGTGCATATCGGAAATAAGGGAATGCATTATTTGTTTGGTAGGTATGCGATTTTTAATTCGAGATATAGCAGCTTCATAATTGACAATTCTAATGACAAACTGCATTTGTTCCTGTGATTAGCCCCATAACGTTTAAAAACACGCAGCATCGATTTATTCACTCGCCCAACACTTGTTTTGTTTGCTCGACAATTCACGACAGGCATTCCTGGAGCACTACTGGCACAATAAACTGAGCCGTGCCTCCTTGCCTCAGCAGCTGTTACACAGCAGCAGGGGAAGCTGAACAGTGGACAAGGAAGCAGCCTGGACAACGGCAAGTGATAAATTGTAGCGGCATAACGGCACTTAGAGGCAAAGACGCTAAACGTGAGATCATCGAAAAAAAAGTGCACAGAAGCTCCAGGCGGTGTTCACCAGCATTGCGTTCGATAAAAATATTCAATTCGCCAAGTGCTCATTGCATATATCTGAAAACATTTGAAGAACGGCACACTATCTCAGATGATAGCAAGACAGAGCAGCAGCGAAGCATCATGTCGTGTCCATAAACTCATTGACATCGGCACTTTCACCTAGTCTGTCGGTGGACCGTGAATTGTAAATACACCTTCCTCTCCCCTACCCACACAAGGCACCTTGCACCCCCACGCTTCACCCGCGATGTGTCTGTGATTACGCGAGCGACACCATGACCCTGCCGTGGGCCTACCTGCCGTCATAGTCTGGCTCCGAGCCCTTCACCTCACACTGGGTCCGTTTGACACCGGCCGGCTCAAGTCCCTTAGATTGTTTATTGGGGCTTTAGAGCACGCCGGTGACTATGGCCCTTTTGCGCCGAGTTTAGAAGCCCAGCAGGTCTCCGGCGCCCTTCCTGTAGTCCATGTTACCAGTGATGACCCCGTTCAGACGGCTGAGGACGGGCACCACCGCGCGAAGCTTCCACTGCTCCATGTTGTGTCCCTTCTCGGAGAGGTAGGCCACTGTCGTCTGCAGAGATAGGGCGGCAATGAGGTTAAAGTCGGTACTCAGTATCCGAGGATAGGGAGCTCAACAGCACTGGTAAGTACAGGCGCCGTTAAAAGAAAGCTATGAATCATGAAGGGTGTCCGATCTGATATCAACAATCACTCCCTGTTCAATGACCCTTTTACTATTCCGCTGTAGGTACCGAATTGCACCACGTCTGAGGTATTCGTATGTGTTCGCTCCGTTCACTCACCGGAGGGAAGCCTTCGTCATAGTTGAGTGTCATGGGGAACAGCTGGTGGTGGAACCTCGGGAAATCGTTGGCCGTCTTCACGTCCTCATCCAGGTACAGGTGACGGAACGCAACCTGAAAACGGCCATGGTTGCGGTAAAATCGCACAGATACATAATTATCCATTACGGAAAATTCGCATCCGGCATGATTCAAGCTGTAGAGCCCAAGATGCTATCCAGTGCAAGTCATACTTTTGTTAACATTTTTATCCTCTACGCCTATACTGCAAAGATGATCACGGTCCCAATGTATCCCTGTCATAATATTCATAAAGATAATACATACAGCATAAGCTGTCTGACAAGCTCCTCTAACATCCTGAACCTATGAGATCTCTATGACCACGCCATCGGCAGTCGACTGACCAGGGCGGTGGCGGTGGTGATGCGCGATCCGCCCGCGCCGCCCACCACCAGGCGGATGTCTCCGGACGGATCCACAAACAGAGACGGAGACATGGACGACACCATCATCTTCCCTGTGGGCAGACAAAGAACACGGAAATGGTTCAGAATATCGACTCGGTGAAACAGTCAACACGTGAATTATAATCATCATGCAACAGAGCGAAATGTTTGACGAACTATGTCTGTTTGAAGGTCAAATTTAGTTACCTCTCAGGCGATAGACCCCGCCCCATTTCACCTGGCTTGATGAAATTGCTCGGTGACGGCGGCAGGTTGAAGTAGTTCTTCATTCCGGGCGTGGAGAAGTCGTCCATCTCGTCGTTGAGCAGGATGCCCGTGCTGGGCGAGATCACCTTGGCGCCAAAGTGCAGGTTGACGGTGCTGGTGACCGAGACGGCGTTACCTTCTGCGTCGATGACGGAAACGTGCGCGGTGCCCGAGTCGGAGACGGGCGCCACGTCCACGCCGTAGTGGTCCGGGTCGTTGAAAGTGCGCGAGTCGTCGATGAGGCCGCGGATGTACTCGGCGTAGTCGCGGGACGTGAGGTTCGCCATCAGCTGGGGAGCAATGGTATCGTCAGCAGCTGAAATTTACTATAGATGACATTCAGCAATCACATCCAGCACGAACTAAAGACAGCTAAGTAAAGAAAAGACGAAGTAAAGACGAAAGCATTTCCTTTCATTCATCTGTAACACCAGGACACGATGTCTTACCTCAGAAATATCCACGAACTCGGGATCAGCGAGCTCCGTCCTCCGAGCGAAGGCGTATTTGAACGCCTCGGCTATCCGGTGGTACATCAGGTTCAGCTGCTCCTCCGTTCCTGAGCAAATAAATAATGTAATACCATTGCCTGAACCTGTCACATAGGACAGATATCGATAGATAACTAAATGCTATTTGCAAGGACATCGCCTTTCGGTACTTTCTACAATATGTCAGTTTTTTTAAGCCGGTATTTGTCACATGACGAAAACCGGAGGCTGCTCGTCAGCATGTTTGCCAAATGTTTCCTGTTGTAGGTTCAACAGATTAATTGCTTAAAAACTTATTACGCCATTAACGTATGTTACTTGAACCATTGCATCAAACCACATGTATAATATAAATAGTTCTGCCAATCAAAAATAAAATGTTGTGCGTGGCACGTCACGAATTCACTCACGGGGTCTGTGCTGGCTGTACTGGTAGCCATCCAGGATATTGAAAACGAATGTCAGGAGGTTCCCGGAGCCGGGGGCCGGCACTCCGTACAGCGAGAGACCGTCACTGAGACGGGCCGTGGCCGGAGTCACCCAGCGCACCCTGGAACGGTACAGCAACCGGTGAGCCGTCACCCATCCGCACACAGCCGCTCATTGTCAGTGACAAAGACAGGTGATCACTCCGGCCTCGCAGGCAAGTGAGCCCAGCGGCCATTGGCCACTCCATGCAGATCAGTGATCAATTCACTCAGGACAGTGGCAAATCCACGTAGACCATTGACCAGTCCACATATTTAGATCAGTGTTCACCGGCCAGTCCGGACCAATGAAGGCCGTTGATTGACCAAACCACACAATCCAGTCTCAAAAGGAGGCCGAGGCATCCAATTCCGTGCAATCATTGCACATATCTGAGAACAGGACTAGTTCGGATCTTCAACAGCAGCCGCCTCCAATGATCCCCAATCCTCACATTCATGCTAACGGCATATCAGTCAGTAAAATACCGTTTGATGATTTGCAGTAAGCAGATAAATCGCCATCACCCATCTCGTCCATATTATCTGCTCTACATCAGTGGTTAGCTCACCTGTAGTCCTCCAGGTCCTTTAGTGTAATGATTCCACCGTTCTTCTGGATGTCATCGGCCAGCTGTTTCCCGACTTGTCCGCCGTAGAGGGCGGCGGCGCCACCGTCGGCGATGGCCTGTAGTGTGTCTGCCAGCGCCGGCCGGCGCACAATGTCGCCCTCCTTCTTGGGCTCGCCGGTCGTCTCGTTGAAGAAGATGGACCTGACGGTGGGCACAGAGCCACGTCGTAATGCAGAGGCAGAAAAGGGTCTCAGGGGTATGAGGTAAAGTCAAAGAGATAAAAACGACCAAGATAAAAGCCGGGAGAGCTGAACCAGGAAAGATGATCAGTAAGCATATTAGGATCATAGGATGCAGCACCAATACACCGTTCCCTGCTTCTATCCTCAGGATACAGAAATCCTTCTCCTCCACGCCACAACCCCTCCGGGCTGGACAGGCAACTTTATCTCATGCGGGCTGCTCCCTTGGAGCGGCACCGCTGCTCCTGAGGGAGCGCACCCCGTAGCCGGGTGCAGTGAGTGCCTTGGGGCTGAGTGGCCTGTCCTTGGACGGGCTCAGCCCCGGCGACTCACTAGGGTGCCTGCCCAGACCAATGTCTCCCCCTATATCCTATCATCCTCCCGGCTCTGAAATGGTCTCATTGGACCGAAAGGGCCTAACCCAACAAAACAAACAAACAAAAACAGCACCAATAGACTAGTTTTGAAGCGTCGTTCGGAATATGTTTAGGGAACCATTTCATTCTTTTGGTGATGTTCTGGTCGTGTGTCTCGTGCCAGGTATAATCGAAAAGTAAGGACAAATGACACGAGAAATATAGGCTAGGCACCCTGTCGCTCATTGATATCACGAACTTTGCGATTCATTGCAAAGAATACCAAAAGTTCCTGAACTCTTCTGAGATAGTAACAACAGTAACCGTCTTTCCAGAGTTATTTGATGCTTACTTGAATGTTGGGTCGACGATGAGTTGATCCGTCTTGGCTCTGAGGTAGCTGGCCTGGTGGCCGTTGACGTGGTACCCCTCGCGGCAGAGTTTGATGGTGGGCTCGAACAGCTCTGCCCACGGCAGTCGGCCGTGCTTCTGGTGGGCGGCCCAGTAGCCGGCCACCTCGCCCGGCACACCCGCCGACTTCCAGCCTGGAGCGGCACAGAGGGGTACACTGAGCAGGACAGAGGGTACACTCACCGGGCACGGTGGTTCACGGTCGGCTCAACAGTCACACGTTTGATGGGTAGTAGAGTCAAACGTTCGATGGGGAGTAGCTGTTTACTACCTCAAGAGGGGTAGAAATTGTTTCTGATACAGTAGTGTTACTGATACAAAGAAGCAAAACGTGCGCATCGGTCTTCAATCAATAATTGAAGGTAAATGAGGAAACATAATATCCCAGGTTTGTGAGCTCTGAACAAAAAGTCGAGCGTTAAGTTCATAATGAAGTTCGCAAGAAAGGCGGAAATAACGCTCCGGGAACAACGGGCCTTCATTACATGGAGCGCTGGGCACCAGCATAAGAATGACGGGTGACAACGTCTCTGACAAATCTTTTACAAGTTATCAGTATAACGCTAACGGCGGAGTGACTGTGCCAAATAGCGGATCCAGCCGCAAGACCCGCGCCGGTATCCCGTACTGACCGTACTGCGACTGCGAGGGGTCGTCGACGAACATGTCCCGGGTGGCGGCGGCCGGCGCCGTCTCGCGCGCCAGCAGCGCCGCCGCCTCACGCTGCCGCCGGTCGTACAGCGTCATGATGAAGCCGCCGCCGATGCCGGCCGACTGGGTGTTGATGACGCCCACACAGACCAGCGCCGCCACGGCCGCGTCCACAGCTGTGCCGTTCCGCCGCAGAATCGCGCTGTCGGAGCAATACACAGTCCAATCAGCTTATAATATTCAAAAGCTAAAATCATAGTTTTAATTATAGTTTTCAAACATTATAGGCATATATCTTTACTGAAAATCGGTATCGCAAACTAAGTCTAACTAGCATGGTCTAACTATTGACTGCAGTCGTCAGAGTTTAAATCACTCAGCTCATCAATCACCTGGGTTTGAAGACGCGATTGTTCGCAAACATTCCGCGATTGTCATTCGCCTTACCCTTCATTATTCTACAAGAAAAAATGAATAAAAGCAAGAAGCGCTAGTGCAAAACTAAGATTTGTTCCCTTTTCAAACGGATTCGAGATAGTGTCACGATCACTCACGCTCCGATTTCGGCACATTCCGTGGCGTCAGAGGCAATGGCTGCCTTCTGGAAAGTTCTAAGTGGAGTCGAGGACGGCTCTGGTCGCAACTCTTGGAACGCTGCAGGACCATTACCGTTGAGGTTTGGTAAACCTGTCACAAAAGACGCAGACAGACGTTAGTCATGCTGGATGGTTCGGGACTACGTCAAGCAAGCAGTAAACTGAGGGAACTAAACATATACGTTTCATTTTTGTTTTATCCCGTCATCTTTTCATCTTGTTCCATTGGTAGGATTGATGCTATCCAAATTATCATGTCTTCCTGTATGGCAGTTCATATAATTTATTGATAGGTACCTATATCGCAAGCAGAACAGTAAGGTACTTACAGAACGCTAATGACAGTGCAATTGACGTGATGATCAAGAAGAGAAGAAGTCCTAGCAGTATCACATGACCTTTTTTCACCATACACCTGAAAAGCACAAAGGAGATGGTCAAAGACGAAAAGAGATTTTAAAGCTGAGCTTGATGAGCTGCGTATTTTCTAGACTTTGCTCATACCATCAAATTTATACGAGGACATGGAGTCAGTTAACAGTTCATGCATCATCGAGTGAACAAACATTATTAACTGCTTCTAGGTAATTCATAAGTGCGTTATACAAATGCTCAAGTGTACTGCTGATAATATTCGCTATTGTAAACACATTCGTTACTTAATTCATTACTTAACTGAAGACGTGACTGGTAGGTGGAATGCAAAGCTGCTTGAACTTCTTTTACTGGTAGTTATGATATATGGCTAATGCGGGACACAATGTCACTGGAGTCAGCGAAGTGTTTAATGCATGGCCGAGTCACGAAAGGTTCGTAGCACTGCGACCGCGGCTATTGATTCTATCGACCGCTTACGGCAGAGCAGCGGCCCCCTAGTGTCGACTTTGGAGCCGAGGAGCTGTAACGGACGTTCTGCCTCACTAGACCGTCCTCACGTCAGTAGATCACATGACCTTCCACCCAGGTCCGCCAGGGTACCACGATTAAGTTGATTGACCACAGCCCTGCACCCAGGTCCGCCAGAATACCTACATGAAAGGCTGATGCCCGAAAAACGTAAAGTCTTTGATAGTTACCTGCATGAAATGATGAAAGTTGGATAGTGTGCACAAATAATCTGTAATCGGTATTTGACCCGCATTAGTTACTATGTACAAGTGCCGAACAACGTTGTCGTCGTTGTCGCTTTACACCGAGCGCTATGCTATGTGCATAGTGCTGAGTGTGCTGAGATTGCACTACTGGTTGGCGCCTGAAGTTATGCTGCACCGCAACGCTTTTATGTTTATTACCACTCATAGATGGCACCACCGGTAGACGCCTGAAGTTATGCTGCACCGCACGGCCTTATGTTCATTTCCGCCCATAGATGGCACCACCGGTAGACGCCTGAAGTTATGCTGCACCGCACGGCCTTATGTTCATTTCTGCCCATAGATGGCACCACCGGTAGGCGGCTAAAGTTACGCTGTACCGCACGTCCTTCTTACATTCATTTCCGCCCATAGCAGGCGCCCACTATCGGTAGGCGCCTGAAGTTATGCTGTACCGCATGGCCTTAACCCGTCGATACGATAATCGGCATGTAGAAACCGAGCACATATGCTCGTAGTTCCGGCAAAATTTAGGTATTGTTCACGTTGTCACACTACACGTAACACTTTTGCAGTGAACGTTATTACAGTACTGCCCGTTCATATAGGTATTGAGTTCGTTATCGACGAGCCAGTGCCGGCTGTACCTACTCCGGAATTTTTTCGGCGACTTTACGCAGACCGAACCAGCAGTCAGAGAGACAAAAATACAGTCAATTTGTTTCAGGTTTACAGCGCAGCACTATCATCTCGAAGACAGCTAGGGGTATCCATTTTAAGCCCAACTGCATGATTGGTGGACCATGTTTGGTAAGACATTAGAGACGTGCTAAAAATGTCACTTACCAAGATGACAGGGCTCTGCTTTTCAATAAAAATATCTACAATGGAAATCCCAAGCGACTTTATAAATCAAAACGCCAGATCATTAGGTGCATAATATGCTGCATTTTCAAACAGTCAATGATCTATTACCTACAATGACAGTATCAAAATCTAAAGATTTGAATTTGACTTTTTAAATAGTTAGTATTGACATGGGGGAAAGGGTAGGCAATGGATATGTGTGAAGAGCAACAACATAACCAATGTGTTTTCTTTTATAACCGGTAAAACACTCAGATATACATGTACACTAATGTGATGCTTAACCATGCACCTAAAGTCAGAAGTTAAAGGGACCACCACGGATGACATAATACGGTCTAATCCATGACAGCACGAATGGTGTCATCACGTGAGTGAGTAGAGTAAATAAATTAAAGATGCTTATAAAAAAATAAGTGATTGAATTACGTACGATGACACTTTTGGAAGTTTTATCAAACAGTGCATAATAATAACTATTGGTTAAAAAAAAAAAACAATACAAATAATTACAAGGAAGTAACCGCAGGCTGCTTGAAATAGACGAGCACTATCCGTTAGAATTGATCTGTGAGTCAGACACACACGTCACACATGTAATGACGGACTTACATGGTGGCGACGTTATGGCGTGGTTGGGAAGTCCTGGACTGAGTGGTAACGCCCTGTTCTCCGACAATATATACCGTGGATCATCACATTTCAAACAGAGTCCATCAGGATGACTGGACCTTTTGGACGGAGACTCGAATCACCCATAGCCGCCGCCTCCCCCTCCCCTCCCAGGCTCGGCTCACGGCTGGTGCGGCAGCCTCCAGTGACGGGCTGACGGCGGTGCACGACCGCCGCACGTGATGGGTGAACAGTTGGTGAGAAGCTGCTGCACGTGGCGGGTGAGCAGCTCGTGAGCGTATACTTTATAGAGGAGTTGCAGCTGGTGAGCGGTCTTTGAGCGGTGGTGAGCGATCGGTGAGGAGTTGGTGAGCAGTAGTGAGCAGTAGTGAGCGAGTGGTGAGAAGCATTGAGCGATCGACGAGCAGTTGGTGAGCGATCGGTTCATTGATGTGTTATTGGTCCGTGCCCAATACCGCCGTGCCGTCCCCCCACGCGCGCGTCCTCTGGGCTCGACAAACACGCAGACAATTGGCGGGTACGGTGGTGTGTGGGGGCGAGGCCGAGGGATGAGGTAGCGATCGGCTGATGGTAAACAGATCCCAAACAGTGGCTGGAGAACCGCACCTCTGCCAACGGTGGCTAGACGCCAGCGGAACGGAGAGTCCCGTAAACAAACGCCCAAGTTCAGTGATACTTCGATACTGACTCGGCATTTACGGTTATATGGCGACTGGTCATGATAAACGTTATTACATGCGTTATGTTTGTACTATTGTGGAATGTGGTCCCTCCGTAAATGAGTATGTTCTTCTTTAATGACTTGCAAAGAGTATCCTTATAGTGATTTGGTTAAATTGAAATGCTTACCTTGGACCTGCTATCATGTAACACCGTGCTCGGTTGCGTCGATGTATATCGAACTCATTACGTGTGATCTGCGAAAGCAAAATGTTGGCATAAAACTGGTAGGTAGCTGATATGATATATGTAAATGGCCATATCACAGCCCTACAGATGATACAAATGGTCTGCGACCGCTCCAGAAGCAAAGTAACATATTCGGAAAAGGGAGAAGTGCTATAGGTTTATCATCGACTCCATCACAGCAACTTCTTCATTCCGTGAGAAAGAGCGATGCAGCATTCAGCTTGAGCTGATATAACACTGACAACATGTTACCTACATGTCTGTGCTCGCTGCAGCCTGCAATACCTGCACATGTATCGGAAAGCAATTCAAGGTAAATCTGATCATCTTATGCCGGCATTATCTACGACTGTAACGGACTTGTTAAAAGCGTAAAATAGCGGCAATAAAGGTCATTTCTCGACCAAACACAACTGCCTGTATTATAATTGGTACATACCTACCTTATGAACTGTTTATTTTCAGTTTTGTTCCAGAAACAGGCCGCAATCCTAAAATTTACAGCTTTGCTCGTCATGCTTGATGCTTATGTTGTTTTAAGAACGACCGAATGTAACTCGTAACTCAAATGATTGCAGACAGTGTCACGCCGCGACCCGTCTTGAACTGGAACAACTATAGGTACACTACAGTTAACGATCGAGTCTCCCTTTAAAGGTCAAAAGGCAGCTCATGACCTCATCCTCACGCCGGCTGCGGTGAGGTCATGATCCAGAAACTAAGACGGTCTGCATAGTTTACGACTGGAAGAATCGGAGCTTGCACAAACGCAAACCGATCCGACCACTCAACCAAGACACCGACCGGGCACGTGCCGCGGGAATAGCCACCGAGGGCGTGTAAAGGGCAGATTGAAGAGTCATTTCACACGCCAAGTGTAGTACCTGTTTGTGATCCTCGCCTTGGGCGGCGCCTCGGTGGTGATGGACGGCAGGTCGCCGTTCCAGTCGGTGATCTGCGTGTACGAGTTCTGACGCTCCTCCAGCTTCCGCTTCTTGCGCGCGTGCTTGCGCTCGGATTTGCTGGGGTTGGACGGCGGCATGGCGCCGGTGTCCTTGGAGCCACTGATCACAGACGGTCGTCCCGGCCACCTCCGATCGACCGGCCGCCGACCACTGTCACACACAGCCCACCCCGGCGGAGATGCCCACGAACAGGGCGTCGCCACGTCACCGCTCACACAGCGGCTAACGCGGCGTCACGGCGCCGTCCAGCGGAGGTGACCGACTGCCGGCCGGTCGGCGGCGGCCTCCCTACCTGACGCACCGCCACCTGCCGCACCGGACGCGGCCCGCAGTGCACCGTTCCAGGCCGGCCGGCGCGGCTCTGGCTCTGGTCCAGCCGATCGGCGCTGGCTTTGGACGGCCGGCTCGGCGCATGACGGCGCACCGGCTCAGACCCCGACCGGTTCTCACAGTCGTGTCAATGACTGGAAAGAGCCTCAACACTTCACAAACGTGTAGGCGCTTTGACTGACTCCCTGGGTATCTCACTGACATATTGGGGCCTGGAGCGAGCTCCAATGTCTCAGAGACACGTGGTAGGTGTCTCTCGGAGGCACGTGACAGACGGGGCCGGACTCCAGTGTCTCTCACTGACAGTTCCAAGAACGAGTTCCATTGCGACTCACAACCTTGTTTGTGTGCGGTGTATCGCAGCGGTCTGTGCTCGGTATTGAACAAGAAGACAAAGACTCGCGGTATCGAAACCGCACAATTGACTGACGAATGTGAATGCTTCCGCTTACAATCTTAGTTGATACCGGTCCCATAAATCGAGCCCATGGCAACTGGAAAATGCACAGCGCCGGCTCATGCCTTGCATGATTGTAGCATATCCCAAAGGTCCCCATAATGTCCACACACTGGACCGTCCTGGTGATACGCACAGAGTAGTGAAGCGACTGCCGAGGGATGACACGAACGTAATCGTCACTGAAGGGGTGATGGGAGACGCGTCAAATAAAGAATAATTTGACCTTGTCATGTCAACGTAACAATTTGACCTGAGGTGAACCTGACCGGAAGAGTTCATGATGTGCATAAGTCGAACCATACCAACCAGGTTGAGGTTGAACCAGGTTGAGCTGAACACTGCACTTTACATCGCTCTAGCATATCTCTATTAACCCGCTCCGGGCCCGTCCTCGACGCCGGTGCGGTCCTCGTGTTAGACGGAATGCTTGAGCACACCGTCTAACTCGGCTCCTGAACCACATAGAGACACGTGGTAAGCGATGTTCGAAAGAGCGCCAAAAAGCATAACGAAAATAGCTCAGCAAATTCTTAGCTCAGGTCAAATATGAAGTCACCAGCGGTCAGCAAAGGTCAAATTTTGCCTATATCGACACACGTTGACAAGTTGCAAGCAAAAGTCAGGAACGATCAGAGCTACGCAGCGGAAAGGGCATTCGGTATAGCTCTTTTAAAGCTTTTTATGGGTATACTGCTCTCAGATTTGACCTAAGGTCAAAGGTTTAGTCCACAGAGGTGCAAACATTTTAACGATTTTTTTTTCAATAACCTTTAACACTAGGCTTGCATTATGTTTATTTCACCGCATCGTGTTTCCTTCGTTGGAAGGCATCGAATCAGCAAATTTGTTCCTAAAAAGTCAATTTGAAAATTTGATCTTGACGCTCATTATTTTTTCCCTCGACTTAGGTACCTATTGGCAATGGGGAGATCGATAAATTGACCAGATTTTAAGTTACCGCCAATCGAAAATCAAAGGTGAAGGCTCTGAACATCCTGTCACTCTTATCGACCGCTGAAAGTTGCTGATCAGCTGTAGTCAGTGTAGCTGTGACGACTGACGTCTGACAGGCAATAAAACCTTTTTTAAAGATTAGGTCATTTGACATGACCTGGTGACCTGACCTTAGGCGACCTGGGCCTTAAAATTTCATGTGTGCAGAAAAATGAATCAAAAGGTGTGCCAAACTGCACAAAGGTGTTTGAAACATCCCCGGCTCGGCGTGGGTTAAGAGTTGTAATTGTCGGAAAACTACTGATGACTTGCAAGCTTTTAAGGACCTTACAGAGGCAAAATATGAAGTCGTTGGCGCAAGTTTCCGATTAGTATTCAGTGGAAGGGCAAAACGTTAGTGTTTGACATGACCTGGTGTCTGGTGATATGACCTGAGCTGAACACTTATGAGCAAATATTAAAAAAAGGTTTGATGTTTTGTATACAATGAAGTTTCAATCAAATATTAAACGTTAAATCAACCTTTTCCCGTTTCCGTAAATGATAGGGTACGTACACCAAAAATGTTATTATGTACTTCAAACAATAAATAAACTTTAATTTGGATTCCAAAACTACTGGTGGCGATGAACGATCTAAAAACAACTTCATCCTGAGAAAAAAAGGAGATGTAGTAAGGTTGAACGTCTAACAGGAACATGCTAAGTCACTAATATCAGCCCGTTCAGACATATGATCACATTTACCGGGTCTATAAAACGTTTCCACCACACTTACGTCACGAGGATCTTGGTCATGGTGAAAGCTGCTCTCGAGGACCGAGCGATCGTGACTGAAATGCTTCTGTCCTACTCCCACGTCTTTGTCGTAGGTTATGGAGGCTTTATCTCCGAGTCGACGGTGAGCCTCGTAGCACCATCACCATACTGCACAATTATCCCTGGTTTGTGCCAATCACTGGTAGGTTACGGGTGACTCCGAATGGCGGATTTGATGTGGCACTTGGAGGTCATATCAATATCAGCGCATGGTGCTCTCACTCCAACATCGGGTCTCGGGGGCTATTGAACAAGCATCTCAGAATGGTCCGACGACCGACGATCGCCGTCGATCAGCCTCTGTCGCTCAACTGTAATCTGATCCGGGGCGACACGTCACTGCCCGATTGCGTCACATCCGACCGATTATCTCCCTCATGACAAAGTCCGAGAATACCGTTACGCACAGCTCGTCCCTCCCATGCACACTCACTGAACACTGAACACGAGTATCACAAACGCTCGTTCGTTAGGTTAGTGTCCACTTCCCGATACACTCGCCATACGCACTGGTGCCTCACACCGCGCCGACGTCCCCCTGCTCCAGCAGGCTCGACGGCGGGTCACACAAGTGTTCTTCAATGAGCTCGACAATCCCAGCGCCACACTGTCAGGGGCGGACCCAGAGATCTCGACGGAGGGTCACACAAGTGGCTCTCAATAAGCTCAGCAATCCAAGAGCCACAGTCAGAGGCGGAATCGGGGCTGGCAGCGGAGCCGGCCGAGAGCGCACTGCGGTACTGACGGGCGGCCAAGGGGGCCGACACGGCACTGCACGGCGGTCAGGGCGGAGACCGGAGGGGGGGGGGGGTGACACTGACGGCTCGACTGACCGACACGGCTGACGTTGACAGCTCGGCCCCGTACCGACTGACTGGGGAGGAACGACGGGGACACTGACGGAACAGAGGTCGTCGGTCCTCTAACATTGCCGGCAGGGCGCCCCCGCATATCTATGGACGTATAGTTTGGTGGAGGAATAGACACTCATTTGTTCCGAATAATTTTCCTAAATGTCGCAGCTACGTTATCGAGCATTGGTGGTGCTCATACGCAGTCCGGATGTGGCTTTAAATCTGCATCTCTACGTCGAAAGATTATCGGACATGACATGCCTAATAGCTCCCAGACATATTCGGGTCAGACGTTTGGGAGCTGTCAGAACTATTATTCGCCTCTGAGCCTAAAACGGCACGCCGTGGTATTCACATACGAGTACACGAACCACTTCTGGCCCTGCCAGCAGTTCCACAGTGGCCCATCGTATCGGTGCACACTGCCCACACTCCGGCTCCGCTGAAGTTCACAGCCGGTATCACCGCTGTGTCGTCAGCCCGGCTTTCCGGCCCGGCGAGAAACATTAGTCAGCCGTGCTTCCGGCGCTGAAAGCTGGGCGGCTTGGAGCAGGGCCACAGGAAGCTGACAGAAAAGGCACGCCGGCGGACCTATCCGAGCTCAGCGCAGATGAGGGAGACATGCATGGGAATGACATTCAAGTGTGAAACTTTTGACTCTAGGCCCACGCCTTGTCGGGAACGGGAGGCCAGGACACAGGGTTCGGGTATACCCGGACTGACAAGGCGATCCATGATATTGTTCCCGGCGCACGACCGGCCGAGTCAGCATAACATCGCATACCGACAGACCTGGCACCGCCAGGTCGCCATACCGCCCTTCCATCGCAGACCCTCTGGCCTTTGGTCCTCCAATAACCAACCCTATAACACGTTCTGTCTTTCAATGACCGGTTCTTCTCTGAGTACGGCCGGTCCCTGACCCTTGGCCATTCTATGACCGGTGCCCTGACCTTCGGTCCTCCTATGATCGGGTCCTTCTGTGACTTCTGTGATCTTTCGGGCTTCGTCAATAGCCAGTCCCCTGATTGTGACCAGTCCCTGACCCTTAGTCCTTGACCCGGCCCCTGACCCTTGGTCCTTCTATGACTGATCCCCTTTGACCTTTAGCCCTCCATGTCACGTCCAGCCCCTGCACGGCTCGTTCACTGTCACGCCTCTGCTGTTGTTGTTGTTGTTGTTCGTCCTCTCGGCGTCTAGCGACGCGAAGCCTCGCGGCTTAGCATCCCTCTGCGCGCGGCCGCCATGGCCGCGATGTAACTTGTGCTCCTTGCAGTCTCTCTGGTTGGGGCGTGTATGCTTCCCGTCAGGCGGAACCGAAGCCCCATCTGCGCTGGGCACCGCAACAGAATGTGATCTGGGGTGTCGGCTTCCTCCTTACAGAGTGGGCAGAGGGCTCCGCCGCATGCTCGTTCATTGCAGGCGTCGCACTGCCGTGTGGGGCTCTTGCCGATGCGATGCAGGTACTGTTGCGACCCTGACCAGTGTCCGGCTCTCAGCTGGTGGACGTCGATAGCCGTCAGACGGTCCAGGCCAGACACTGTGGGTGGGCGCGTTGTCCCCATCAGGGTTCGGAACCAGCCTGGGGGTCGCTGCTCTCGTGTGCGAGCGTCCGCCGCTCGCGCCGCTGCTCTATGCACGCCTCTGCTCGGCCCGCTCTCCGCTCCGGAATTGTTTGTTATTGCTTCTGCTGTGGATGGCTTGACCGCTGAGGGAATAAATCACCGATGTCCAATGGTCACAGCTGACAGTTGAGCCCGGATCATGTTCTATACCGGTCAGTCAGACTGCGATTCATACAGGGCCAGACTAGTCATGCAGCCTTGCTATTATAGTTGCAAGCCGTAGGTATTGATTCACCTTCCTTGGTCCGTTCAGAAGCCTTTAAATTCGTTATCATCATGAGTAAACTCGTCTCTCGTTGTAGTGACTTGCGACTTGCAAGAAAATGTTACATGCCTAAGGCCTAGCCATCTGCAGGCTGCAACCACGCGCCTTAGCAATATCCAATTTTCATCAGTTGTATTCAATAATAATCATCCATATAGCGACATAAGTAAAACGGCAACAACAGCGATTTATAGAAAAATAAAAACGCCCTAGCACGCACATGAAATTCATAAGATGCAAATCCCATGAGCAGTCCAAGCCATAGACGCGGAAGGAAATGGTCATTCAGAAAGACGATTACAGGCCTCGTTCCTGAAGTTGAGACCCATGCGCATAAGATCCAACCGTAAACAATAAACATTCACAATCGCTTTACGTCCGAGGTCATTCCGTGCACTGGAAATCCGAGCGTGCCGCTGAACCCGTATGTGCCCCTGAGGTGTTTAATTCCACCCATTGTAACGAAGCAGAGGCCCGGGGCACGCCCTCAAACCCGACACCGTCCGCGGTGTGAGGCACTTGTTAGCAGAGCGAGGCGTCGGCCGTGTTAAGTCGGATCCAGTCGGCGGCGGCCGTGACGCGCGCGTACACGCCCGGGTAGTCGGGACGCGCACACCCGATGCCCCACGACACCACGCCGATGAGCGAGTAGCGGCCGGCCACCTCGGTGACCAGCGGGCCGCCGCTGTCGCCCTGGCAGGCGTCCTTACCGCCGCCAGAGACGGCCGCGCACAGCATGCTCGGGTTGACCTGCCTGTAGGCGGCGCTGCACTGGGCGTTGCTCTGGGTTCGGACGGTGACCTCATGCAGGGCGTCCGGCTGCGGACCTCCGGCGGACGTGGTGCCCCAGCCGCTGACTATGGCCTCCACGCCGACGAACTCGCCGCCGGCCGGCAGGCAGGCGGGCGCCACCCGGCCACCCAGCGCGGCAAAGTCGAGCCGCTGGGCCAGCCGCAGCAGCGAGAAGTCGTAGCCGGTGGTGTCCACGGAGCGGTAGCGCGGGTGCTCGGTGACGGCCGCCACGGCCACGCGCCGCTCACCGTCCGCCAGGAACATGGCGTGCTCGCCGAGCAGCACCTCCAGCCGGTCCGCCGAGCGGCCGACCGTGCAGTGCGCCGCCGTCAGCACGTAGCGGTCGTTGATGACGGTGCCGCCGCACCAGATCCACGAGTCGCCGGCGCTGACCAGGCCCGCCTGCCACGGGTACTCGCGCACCTCCGTCTCCACGCCGCCGACAATACGGGTGGAGCGGCGCGCCAGGCCGCAGCACTGCCCCCGCAGGCTGCCGTACGGGGTCGGCGAGGGTACGCTGCTGTCCAGGGACCGGATAGGGTGGTTAGAGGAGAGAGCGGTGCCGTTCTTAGCGGAGAGGAGCGTCTCACCAGCGACGGCAGTGTCTCTGACCAGCTCAGTACCCGACTGACGCGGCAGGAGAACAGGGTCTGTTGAGTCTCCGAAGCGAGGAAGCGGTATAGGAGGGACGGAGGTGTCAGGAATTGTCTCCGAGCGGGGAAGAATGGATGGCTTCGCTTGCACGGCAGCCAGCATGAAAAGGGTAATAACCGATCGTGCCATAGCCGATACCTCGAGGGTTACTGCAGCGAACAGGTCGTTAAAGTGTGACGATATCAACGACCACCGCGCTCTTATACCCTGTCGAAGTGAGATACCACCTGTGTGAAATCTCATCCTGTCAATCACATGGAGAGCCTATCCCCCGCACCCCACCTGAGGAAGCCCCATGGAACGAGAGTGCGCCCGTTTACAATCCGATCAGTGTCGGCAGATGCAGCTGCCCGTCCGTATTTGAGCCGTGCCCAGACCGGCTCAGCTGGTCCAGATAAGGTGTGATTGACGTAACACGTATTTGGTGCCGGGGCGAGCGACAGCGGTACAGGGGGAGGGGAGGGGGCACGCATGATACGGCGGCCGTGTTGGATTAACCACCGGCCTGCCGAGTGCCGACCCAATCCAGATAGGCTTTGCCCAATTATACCCATGAACAAGTGTTTCGGCCGTGAAGCTGGCTGTCGGCTTATTGTTGGTTGACGAAGCATAGATCAGAAATAAGCGAGTGGCTTCGATCAAGGTGAGTTTCATGCCAACATTTATTCAATAACGCTAATAAAAATTGTTTTGCTTAGGTGTAGATGCTAGGGGAAGCGGGGGTAACACCGCCACTGTGGGAAACACCGCCCAGGGCCTCGTCTAAGGAATTTTCACTGGGGGGGCAGAGACTGAAGGACCCAAACCTAGGGTACCCCCAAATCCTGTTTTCTCAACGGATTTAGGCCACTTATTTTTTCGTCACACCTGAGACCATGATTTTTTTAAACAAAAAACAAAAAAAGGCAATCCGAGCCATGCTCGTATAGGGGGAAGGTCGAACGGACCCCCTCGGTTTTTCAAGAATAGCTCACGTAAAAGCGGCTGACCTTTTAGCGGCTGACCGCGACGAAACTTTCAGTACCCTCGCGTTAGTCAATTTTACACCTACTCTGAAAATGTCATGACCCTGACCGTAATGACCTTTGACCTGTGACCTACTTTTCGAGACCATATTTGACCGGAATCGCGATTTGGCGTACATATGTCGGCTCGCATTAGCCGCGCGTTTACAGTCTTTTCGTGGTTTCAAGCGTTCAAACATGGAATATGACTAGGGTTACCCGCGTGCTCCGCAACGCGAAGAAGGGCTATTTGTGACCTGTGGGTATTGAATTGGTCTGTGTCGATTTGGCTGGTATCCATTTCGTTCGATTGCTTTTTGACGGCCGAGCATTTTGTAATAAAACAAAAAAAGATACATCGCACCGAGGTGCCCGTGTCGTATTATCATGCGTTCTACTTTAGAATGATTCGAAAACTGGCGTGAAGTCTTTTGAGGACCATCGATGAATTTCGCTCAAAATGACAATGTAATGGTTTGGAACATTTGCATTTTTAAGGATACTGTTGCCCGTCATGCAAAAATGAAGAGTGAATATTGGACAGAATTGAATGCTCTTTCCAACAGTGCCATTTTTAATTGCCAGAGATATCAGATCATGGAGCAAAACCCGTGTGATTTATAAAGTGACACAAAATTGACAAACACCATTTTCTCCCGTGATTTGTACCACCTTGATTTGGATCAATCAGCTTTTCACAATTTTTATATCAGAGGCGGTACATTTCTCTTGCCAACAGGCGTTATTCCAACTCGCTCCGTTTAACGGTCACCTAAAAATAAAATCAATTCCAAAATCCGTCCAAAACGTCAATTTTCCACATAAAAGTGCTCTCACTGGTGCACGTGGCGCGTGCCATCCCCTGCAACACACACCATTCGATAGCCCGTTAAATTATCTACACGATGCTGTTTTCCTCGTGCCGATCGGGCCCCTGGTCACCAAGATATTGCACGGGGACCGGACCCGTGTCGGCCAAAATTAGCCGTTTTCGCCCGATTTCGCACGCCGATTTATACATGTAAAGTCTATGACGCGAATTTGCACTTTTTGAGCACGCGCCACGCGCTCCCTATCAATCCGATCGAGCTGAGACCCCTCAAAGGCACGTCGCGCATCCTTGATCTATAAGCTGTGCAAATTTCACCGCGCTAGGTGCAACGGTCTGGCATGTAGTCCACGCAAAGCACCACCAAGTCGGGACCTCGGTAACGGACAGACGCACCCTCCTCAAATAGTAATATAGACAAGCGGCTGCGCCACTTGCTTTGCTGCGTGGTAGGAAAAAATTGCGGCACCGGCCAATTTGCTTTCGAATGGTGTTCGATTCAAATCGATGTGTCGTCTAGAAGCATAGATATGGACGGAAATGTGAAGAGAATAAAAAAACTGTTCTGAGGGCTTCGTTGGATGAAAGTGGGGTGATACGGGGTCAAGACGGGTCAAAGGGGTCAGCCCCGGTCACTTTGGGTTAGGCCAGGTCACCTAGGTCACCTCTCGTCCGATGGGATCAGCCCGGGCCACTGTTTAACTTTTGCCTCCACCACTACCCCTACCACTACCCCTACCACTACCCCTACCCTTACCCCTACCACTACCCCTACCACTACCCCTACCACTACCCCTAACCCTACCCCTAACACTACATCTACCACTACCACTACCCCTACCACTACTACTACCCATACTCCTACCTCTACCACTACCCCTACTACTACCCCTACCACTATCCCTACTACTACCCCTACCACTACCCCTACCCCTACTTCTACCCCTACCACTACCCCTACCCCTACCACTACTCCTACCACTACTCCTACCACTACCACTACCCTACCCCTACCCCTACCCCTACTACTACTACTACTACTACTACCCCTACCCCTACCACTACCACTACCCCTACCCCTACCACTACCACTGCCTACCACTGGGTCATGTCAGCTCACATAATAATTGGATCCATTTAACTTTTTTTTAAATCAGACTTTAAAAGTGCTTCTAGCCCTGCTCCTATTCGTGCCATTCCATTAGCCTTAGTCGAGTTTGTCGGAAATGGCGCCTTGTGACAAAAGTGGCGCATTGCGGCAAACGCGGCGCATTTTTACCCGGTGGATGAGCATGCATCTTTGCACCAAATTGCACCCACATCGGACCATATTTGACAAAACTGTGCGATTCGGGGCAAAATGACGCCCTGTGACCAATGTGACGCCTTGCGGCAAACGCGGTGCATTTTTATACTTGTATCATCAACTGTTCCCATTGAATGAAAATCACCACATTCTCTCGCCACTTTTCATTCAAATTAATAACCTGCCCATCTGCCAATGCGAGGCACCCGCCACCGATCGGCATGCATTTAGTCCACAAAGTTTGTCGACCCCGGCTCTCAGTGAAGATCGGGCTACGAACCGATCAAAATTTCATTGGCGTTCTTCCGGCGCCCGCCACGTGCCAACCGTGCACCCCAGCGAGTCGAAACCTAGAAAAGGCGCTGACCCGTGACGTCACCTAGAAGGTGTGCAAATTTCAACCCCCTACGCCGTACCATCTGCCGTGTAGGTGAGGTTAATTGAACCCACTACACGATGTGCGGACACACAGACTCACAGACAGACGGATTCTGTTTGAATAGTAAGTTAGACAAGCGGCTGCGCCACTTGCTTTGCTGCGTGGTAAGAAAAAATTGCGGCACCAGCCAATTTGCTTTCGCATGGTGTTCGATTCAAATCGATGTGTCGTCTAGAAGCATAGATATGGACGGAAATGTGAGGAGATTTAAAAAAGAACTGTTCTGAGGGCTTTGTTGGATGAAATTTGGCTGATACGGGGTCAAGACGGGTCAAGGGGTCAGCCCCGGTCACTTTGGGTGAGGCCAGGTCACATAGGTCACCTCTCGTCCGATGGGATCAGCCCGGGCCACTGTTCTACTTTTGCCTCCACCACTACCCCTACCCCTACCACTACCCCTACCACTACCCCTACCACTACCCCTACCACTACCCCTACCCCTAAATCTACCACTACCACTACGCCTACCCCTACCACTACTACTACACATACTCCTACCCCTACCACTACCCCTACCACTACCCCTACCACTACCCCTACTACTACCCTACCCCTACTACTACCCCTACAACTACCACTACCCCTACCCCTACTCCTACCTCCTACCACTACCACTACCCCTACCACTACCACTACCTACCACTGGGTCATGTCAGGTCACATAATAATTAAATTGCGGCAACAGCCAATTTGCTTTCGAATGGTGTTTGATTCATGTCGATGTGTTGTCTAGAAGCATAGATATGGACGGAAATGTGAAGAGAATTTAAAAAATAACTGTTCTGAGGGCGTTGTTGGATGAAATTTGGGTGATACGGGGTCAATACGGGTCAAAGGGGTCAGTCCCGGTCACTTTGGGTCAGGCCAGGTCACATAGGTCACCTCTCGTCTGCTGGGATCAGCCCGGGCCACTGTTCTGCTTTTGCCTCTACCACTACCCCTACCCCTACCACTACCACTACCCCTACCACTACCCCTACCACTATCCCTACCACTACCCCTACTCCTACCCCTACCCCTACCCCTACCCCTACCACTACATCTACCCCTACTACTACCCATACTCCTACCCCTACCACTACCCCTACCACTACCCCTACCACTACCCCTACTACTACCCCTACTATGTACTACCCCTACCACTACTACTACCCCTACCACTACCCCTACCCCTACTACTACTCCTACCACTACCCCTACCCCTACCCTACCCCTACCACTACCCCTACCACTACCCCTACCCCTACCACTACCCCTACCACTACCCCTACCAACACCGCTGGGTCATGTCAGGTCACAGAATAATTGGATCCAATCAGTACTAAAATATCAGACTTGAAGTGTTCCCAGCCCTGCCCCTATTCGTGCCATTCCATTACCCTTACTCGATTTTGTCGAAAATGGCGCTTTGTGACAAATGTGGCGCATTGCAGCAAACGTGGCGCATTTTCACCCGCTGATTGAGCATGCATCTTTGCACCAAATTGCGCCCATATCGGACCATTTTTAACAAAACTGTTCGATTTGCGGCAAAAATGACGCCCTTAGATAATTGTGGCGCATTGCGGCAAACGCGGTGAATTTGTAAAAT